GGGAGATCAAATGATAGGTGTTAAATTTTAACCTAACTGCATCTGCAATAATCCACTCTACAATGCACTTTGCATAATAGCAAGGCTTTTCACAATCTAGTCTGTGGTCAGAGGAGATTCACAAGAGGTTTAATCCAAATGTATTTCCCTCTCACTTTTATTTATTTTTAACTGCAACAACTTTAAAGTGGGTCAAAAGGGAGATATAATGAGAAAATATTATATTCTAACCCAACTACATCTGTCATAATTGACTTTACAATGTTCTCTGTCTGATAATAAAGTTATTTACATCCCTTGACTAGGAGGCTTATTCATGTGTAGACCCATAGCTTTGGAAACCAGGTATCTACAATTAAAACTCTGATACTATTCTATCCTTTGGATTTGGACTTTATTATTTCCAATCCTTGGATCATACAGGCTGGTGGACTTAGTTAATGCCTCATTTAGATGGATATGCATTTGAAGACAAGCCTTTAAGATCCCAGACACTATTCTTTCTGATACTTGGGCACCATCTAGTTTCTTTGCCACACTTTGCTATAGCAACAGAGAAACATTAAGAATCAAACAGAACCCATATCTTTTGTGATCTCTTCATCTCTTCATGGGGGTAATTATCAAGCAGGCGCATGAATACATTATATATATACATATATATATGACATTTAAAAAGATCTGTTGTTGAATGCTGGGTTTTTTTGTATTTATTTTAAGAATATTGGATTGTGTCCTGGCATGTAGTTACATTATTTTTAAGTTTTACTTGGTCTAACTAAGAGCAGATTCTAATCTAGGGTAAATTTAATTCTACTACTCAGGCTAAGTTTACTTAAGACTCTAGTCTGTATATTATGAGATCTTTCCAGCCTGTTTAATGAAAAAATATTCTCATCTCCAAAATCCAATCTATTCTCCCGTTTTCAATGAATTACTGGAGTTCATTTTGGCTTTCCTCCCTGTGTTGTGGCCAATGAACTGTCTCCAGACCGTTAGCTGTTGACTCACAGGGTTCCTTTCTTTTGTTTCCACCCCTGAGGAGCCATGGTCCTATGACATCTGATTTGCAACATCTGAAAAAGGTTGTTTCACATCTTTTGTCTAGTTGTCTGATTTTTACAGTGAAGAGGTAATTCGCACAGCAGTTAATTCTTTATGAGCAAGAGCTTTGCCAACTGCAAAATCGTGTTTTCATAGATATTTGTATGGCTAGGTTTCTTTAATGGGTAGAAATAAAGTATAGAAAAATACAGGAGATCATATGAATCGTTATGGGGCTGTTGAGGGTTCAGATCCTATAAAAGATCTTAGTAAATCTGAGAATAGTGTCACCACTGATACAGTGTCTATCCTAATTACTGGGTACAATTTTATAAACAAACCCAACCCACTGCCTTTGAGTCAATTCTGACACATAGTGATACAATGTAGGGTTTGCAAAGCTGTAAATCTTTATAAAAGCAGACAGCTTCCTCTTTCTCCCTCAGAGCAACTGATGGGTTTGAACCACTGACCTTGTGGTTAGCAGTCAGCTTACTCAAGTCAAGCTCTACCATACATGACTTTGACTTTGCTACTAAAGAGTTTACCCTGAGACACTTTGTCGGATATTAAGAAAGAGGTAGATGCTTGGTGTTCTCTAAGGGCCTTTTTCTTTGTCCCTTTGTGGATTCTGCATTGATCTTGGGATCAGATGTCATCCCATTACCTTCTCTGATATACTTTTCCCCATCCACTTCTCCAATAAATCAGTGCTTTATGAAACTATTCAATTCTCCCCTTTCAATAATAGATCTATTCACCATCTCACTAAATCTTGGTGGATGAATTTCTGAGAATGTGTGCCGACTTTGGAATTGAGTGCCCAGTACCCTGGTATGTAACATTCCTATATTGGATATCCATGAACTTAAAGGGGATCAAGCAATCATATCCCTAAACAAGTGAGTGTAGTTTGTCTGTTTGATGGGATTCTAGGAATATACTCTGACATTTATCTCGTCACGTTGCATTTTTTAGGACTTTATGGTGCAGATTGCTGGTTCATCATGTTTGTAGAGTCTCCCAGAGTTGATTTGGACTTGAGATGTTCATGATTTGTATGATCCACATGTAGACCAGGGTTTCCCAACCTTTGCTCTAATTACGTTTGGGGCTAGATCATTCTTGGTTGTCTTGGGCATTAGAGGGCACTTAGCAGCAGCGACATTGGCCTCTATCCACTAGATGTCAGTAGCATCCTCCTCCCAGTTATAACAACCACAAATGCCTCCAGACATTGCCACAGAGCCCTAAACAAACCACAAAAAGCAAGCCTAAGGCCATGGAGTTGATTCTAACTCATAAGGACCCTAGAGAGGGATTCTGAGACCGTAGGTCATTAACAGAGCAAGCAGCCTCATCTTTCTTCTGTGAGGAGACTGGTAGATCTGAACCTCCAACCTTATGATTAGCAGCTCAATGCTTCACCTACAGCACCATTAGGTCTTCTTAAATATATTCGAGTGGGTGTAACATTTCTCGGGTTGAAAACCACTGATGTAGATGCTTAATGGTATGTCATACTCCAGGACATACCAGAAAAGGTTTCTGAGGCTGTTTATGGGAGGCTCTGTGTGAGAACAGCTAGCCTCATCTTTCTCCTACCTAGCAGTAGTACATCACCTACCTAGTAGTACCAGGCTTATCTGACAGTGCTATCAGGTGTGTGTGTGTGTCTATACACACCCACATAAATCAACATAGATCAAATTTACTGCCGCTGAGTTGATTCTCACTCATAACTTCCCTGTTGGACAGAACAGCATTGCTCCCTAGGGCTTCGGAGGTCCTAAGTCTCTTTCAAAGCAGAAAGCCTCATCTTTCTGTAGCAGATCACCTGGCGGGGTCCAACTGCTAAGCTTGCGGTGAGCAGCCTGAAGCCTCACCCACTCTTCCACCAGGGCTCTTACACACGCCAGAGAGCTTTGAAAGCTCGTGGGAAAATTCCATGATCTTTTCATTGCATTTTCCCATAAGCTAGTTGAAACCACTCATATATCTGCATACACTTGTGTGTATTTCTATACCTTGTAAGAATACATAAACATGGACTTAATTCAAGCCTAAGCCCACTGTCATCTAGTAGATTCCAGCTCGTTTGTTAGGTGCCATTGAGGCAGCTACAGCTCACAGCGACCCTCTGTACAACAGAGCCAAGCACTGCCCAGTCCCGGGCCATCCTCACATTGCTTCTTATGTTTGCATCCATGGCTGCAGCCTCTGTGACACATCATCGTGTCTCAGGCCTTCCTCTTATTTGCTGCCCCTCTACAGGATGTCCCTCTCCAGGGACTGGTCTCTCCTGACAGCATGCCCAAAGTATGTGAGACAAAGTCTCACCATCCTTGCCTCTAAGGAGCTTTCTGGCTGTACTTATTCCAAGACAGATTTGTTTTTTCTTTTGGCAAGTCCATGGTATTTTCATTATTCTTCACCAGCACCACAATTCAAGTGTCTCGATTCTTCCTCAATTTTCTTTATTCACTGTCCAACTTTCACATGCTTACAAGGTGATTGCAAATTCCATGGCTTTGTTCAAGTGCACCCTCATCCTCAAAGTAAGATCCTTACTTTTCAACCCTCCAAAGAGGTCTTGTGCAGCAGATTTACCCAGTGCAATGCATCCTTTGATCTCTTGACTGCTGCTTTCCAGAGCATCAATCATGGATTCCAAGCATGACAAAATCCTTAACAACTTCAAACTTTTCACCATTTATCATATTACCTATTGGTGCAGTTATGAGGATTTGGGTTCTCTTTACACTGAGTTGTAATCCAGACTGAAGGCTGCAATCTCCCTTCACCAGCAAGGGATTCAAGTCCTCCTCCCTTTCAGCAAGCCAGGTTGTGTCACCTGCATATGAACTCAGAGTGACACTCGGTGTGGTTTCCAGGACCGCAGTCCACCTCATCTGTCCCCTCACCTTTTCCCTGAGGAGTGGCTGATTGTTTTGAATCGCGGACCTTGTGGAGGTTCAGGTATAAAGGTACTTATTTGTCATCATGATTAAAAGAGCAATAAAGAAGAAATACTCTTTCAGTCCATCCTGTATGTACAATATGGTCCTCCCAGTAGCCTGTGATACTGCTTTCTGCTACAAGACACAATAGGAGATGAGTAACCAAAAGTCAGAAATGAATATTTCATTTAGAGTCGGATGCAAATAGTCAGATATTAATATTTACTTCTTAATTTTGCAGTCTTCTGACCAGACTGCACAAGAATGTAAATGTCTTGACAGGAGACAGTAGCTTTTAGTTCCCTGGGGACTTCAGTGTAATGAATCTGGTAAATAATTCAGGAGCACATGAGAGGCCAACGAAAGGGCTGCACCTGGTGCTGTATTGTTCCTGTGTAAGCATGCAGAATCCACAGATGGCATGCTACACCTTGTTCTGACTGAAGCACCGGTCCTGTGTTCAGTGGTGGCTGCAATGAAAGGGAGTGGTATTTTTGTTCTTTTCCAATTTTCTTCCACAATCAAAGAACACTGTGCTAAGCCATTTAAAAACACATAGCTGAACTGGCCTCCTCTTTTAAATTTCCACTGGTAAAACATTCAGATCTATTATATTCTACTAAGGGATAGGCAGTTTTGTAGAATTCGAGGTACATCTACCTTCCCTATCAGTGCTATTTGAGCCTTTCTGTCTTTCCACCTTTGTTATGTAAAGTGGGGCTTCCTTTCAGATCATAATATTTATATTGTAAGCATCTGCTAAGAGCAACAGGACCATTCTCCTGCCACTCACTCACTCACTCACTCACTCACTCACTCACTCACTCATTCTAGTGGAATTTCAAGACGTTCAGTTTCTCAACCACCTGTGCAGTCTACCCCTTTTGTATTAGCCAAACAGTTTTTAAAAACAAACAAAGAAAAGACTCTTGGCAAAGGACATTCTTCTGTGCCTCAGGTTGACTGAATACAGAATGTTCCTTCGCTCACGGAGAGAAGAGGAGCGAGAAGGGCCGAGGCTGTGCATCCCAGCAGCGCAGGGTATGGGGTGAGTGCTTCAGTCTAGGGTCAGGCAGGGCTCGGGCCATGAGTTGCAGGGAAAGGTCCTGCCAGGGCAGCAGGGAAAGGAAACTGTGCTCTCCAGCTTCCAAGTTGGTCTCGCTCTTGGCCATTAAAAGATCTAACGAGAGACTGTAGGGCCTTATCTCTGTACATTATCCGTGTGCTTTCTCTGTTGAAAATATTGTTTATTATAAAACCCACTGCTGTTTGAGCTGATTCTGACCACAGCAACCCGACAGAGGGTTTCCAAGAGGAAACCTTGATGTGAAGCAGACAGCCTCTTCTTTCTCCCTAGGGGCCTGGTGGGTTGGCATCACTGCTGTTGTAGTTAGCAGCCCAAAGCCTAGCATCACCGGGGGTCTTTTTTTTTTTTTTAAATAAGGGTTTAAATATGTGGTTAGGATGCATTGGACTGCTACACTAAAGGTCAGCAGTTCAAAACCACCAGCCATTCTGCGGGAGGAAGATGGTACTTCCTCCTCCCATAAAGAGCTGGAGCAGCAGTTCTCAACCTGTGGGTCGCGACCCCTTTGGGGGTCGAACGACCCTTTCGCAGGGGCTGCCCAATTCATAAGAGTAGCAAAATTACAGCTATGAAGTAGCAATGAAAATCATTTTATGGTTTTGGTGGGGGGGGGGATCACCAAAACATGAGGAACTGTATTAAAAGGTCACGGCATGGGGAAGGTTGAGAACCACTGAGTTTGAGTCTCAGAAACCTGCTGGGCCCGTTCTACCCTGACCTATGGGGTCACTATGACTCAATGGCTGTATTAATATGTTTTCATATTATATATGCATATTCATATTATATGAAGGGGGAGGCTTCAAAGAGTTTATGGGGAAAAAATTCCATTATCTTTTCATTTTGTTTTGCCACAAACTTTTTAAAGCCCTCTAATATACAAAATACGTGACTATGTATAATAAAAGTATAAACAAGTGCATATAATTAAAGCATATAAAATCTGTATAATCAGTCACGAGGGGCCGGGTGGTACAAGAGTGAAGTGTCCACTGCTGGCCAAGAGGGTGGCAGCTCATAGCCACCTAGAGAAAGACCTGCCAGTTTGCTCCCACAACAGTTACAGCCAGGAAACCTTATGGGACAGCCTGCTGTCACATGGGATCCCTATACATCACGGAATCCACTCAATGGTACGCAGTATCAGGAAATCATTTATGTGTAGGTACAGATGTAAATTCAAAACATCCATCAATTTGTTAACTGGTTTCCTTTCCTTCAGGGACTGGTGCGAGAGTACTTGGAACAGTGACTGCCATCTGGTGGCAAGCCAGAATCTTCCTGTAGTGTAACCTGATGGTTTCTAAGATGACTACTCTTGACTCACGTGGTGCGCACTGGCAGCAGGGGGCCCCGGAGACCCTGGAAGGCATCTGATGAAGGAGCCTGGTGCACTAACTCTGCCTTTCCACCTGAATGGGTTGTTCTGCTTGGATTCTGAGCCAGGCGTCCGTTCCAACATGGGGCCTCTGAAGAAAAGCTTTGAGTTGCTCTTGTGGTTTAATCGAAGACCAGTATCCCAACCAGTGGGAAACCAAAACTGAATCATCGCACACCAAGAGGGGCATGTGGTGACATGGAGCCTGAAATAAACTGTTCAGGATTCTGTGACAGTGTTCCTGGCCAGGAGCTGACACAGAGACCCTTTCAGGATTTCTGCAGAGCAATTGTAAGTGAACAGCCCCATCGAGCTTCTTAGATGTTCTTGGTAGGGGAGGAGGGCCTGAGGACATGGGGGTAGGAGGAAGAAGAGGGGCACTGCCCACGCAGGGCATAGCTTTGCAGCCGTGGTGATAATGGGCCGTTCATGTCCCATCTACTGAAGATTGCTCTTTGTTCACCGCTTCCCCTTATTCTATTCCCAGACCTCATCTGACAGCAGGAAAGCTCTCTCTCCAGTGTCCCCTGTCCTCGTGGGCATTGTTTGGACTTTTCTCAGCAGTGGACTTCTCCTGGTCATCTTCTTTCTTGTCTTCACAATTCGCTGCAAAAAGAACAGGTAAGCAGCCCATGCCCAGTTTCTCGTCTCCCCTGGTGGGAATTAGGAACCTCCGAGTGCTGGGATCATTTAGCACCGCAGGCTGCTAGCAGGTAGTATCAGCAGAGCTTGTCTCTTCACTGTAGCATCATGCTATCTGAGCAGGGGCACCGGAAACCATCCTGGCCTTTGACTGCAGCTTCCTCTGTATAAAGAGAAAGGTCAAGCCTTATATTTTACATTATAAGAGTAAAAAATGAAAACCCTCTCCCCAGAATGATGTTTACCTGCTTTATGAGAACATTGTGGTTGTCAGGTGCAGTTGAGTGGGTTTGAACTCATAGTGACGTTATGTGCTGCAGAGCGAAGCACTGCCTCCCTGGTCCTGCTCCATCCTCACAGTCATTGTTGCCTGCGCCCCTGTTGCATCCACTGTGCCAGCCCATCTCGCTGAGGGGCTGCCTCTGTTGCCGGCCTTCCACTGAGCATGACGGAGATATTATTAGTTAACACAGCGAGCACACAGAGAAACCTCTCAGAGCAACATAAAAGCTCTTGAAGGCACCGTGGCACCAGCTTGGGGGATGGTGGTGCTGAGGCTTCTCCCAATTCCAGGCCCCCTTAGTACCAAGATATTCTAGCTAGAGAGTCACTCACTCATCAGAGTAAGTATTTATGGGCAAAACCAACAAAATGGTGACCTTTTTAAATGAAAAGTCTGCAGAATCTTGCCTCTTCAGCTACTCAATCCTCCCTCAGGGACCACCCAGCTTCCTCCTCCCAACACTCTGCACCTTCATCCTGCTCCAGATGCCTCCGGGAAAGCCTTCCTCCAGCACATTTTCCCTACCCAAGGTTGATAACCCATCACCCTGTTTTATTTTCTTCACAGCAACATAAAGAACATTGGTTTGTCTACTGTTTCTTATTTCTTTTCCCCACAAGCGCATAAGGGCCATAAAAATAGGGGCATGTCTGTCTTGCTCACCACTGGGTCTCCAGAATTTAGAACAGATTCTGGAGCATAACAGTTGCTCAGCGAATAGTTGTTGAATGATTCTAGAAGGGAGGAGATTTAAATCCCTGGTGTGGTTAGTGCCAAGAAAACGCAATTCATTTGAAGTCTAGAGAACTAAGGAGCACATTCTATTCATCTACAACACAGTTCTATTATGCAAATTAATACCTAATGTCATTCTTATCCCAGAGAAATCATCCTTTAAAGCATTCAAGGGCAATGCTTTTCACAGTTCAATAGGTAGTCTTAGCTATAAGAAAGATCGTAAGACATAAGTGAAACATACTACTACAGTATCCTACTCAGGGAACTGATTTGAACTGGTTTAGACATAGCTGATAAAGCAAAATCAGAACAGAGTCAAATTTAAAAAACTAGGGTGAAATGGGAAAATACCGAGGATGGGGGAACATGACAGGTTGAAGCCCTGGAGTGGGAGTCTTAGAAGAAGCATCGTGAGCCCTTGCAGGAGCTGGTGTGGGAAATGGGGTCATTGCCGGACATGGGAGATGATGGGGTCATTGCCAGAAGTGGGAGATGGGGTCATTGCCAGACGTGGGAGATGGGGTCATTGCTGGACGTGGGAGATGATGGAGTCATTGCCGGACTGTGAAAGTAACACCTGTTCAAAGCAGCGTGGTTGACCACCCTCTGTGAGTGGAAACCACTGTTCCCAATTCAACCTCTCCAAGATACTTGGTTGCTATGCAACACACCCTGCCCTTGTTTCCTAAGAAGGAGATTATGTTTCTAGCAGGGAGCCCATAACTTTTCCCGTTTTTGTTATCCAAACTATGGAGAGCCTTTAGAATAAGGGGAATTCCAGAATATTTAATTGTGCTCATACAGAACCTGTACATGGATCAAGACGCAGGTGTACAAATGGAACTGGGGTTTAAAATCAAGAAAGGTATGCATTAGGATTGTATCCTCTCACAGTATCTATTCAATCTGTATGCTGAGCAAATAATCAGAAAAGCTGGAATACAGGAAGAAGAATGGCATCAGAATTGGAAGAAGGCTTATCGACAACCTTCAATATGCAGATGACGTAGCTTTGCTTACTGAAAGTGAGGAGGACTTGAGGCGCTTGCTGAAGAAGAGCAAGGATTTCAGCCTGCAGTTTGGATTACCGCTTAATGTAAAGAAAACAAAAATCCTCCCAGCCGGACCAGTAGGTGACATCACGATAAACGGAGACAAGGTTGAAGTTGACAAGGATCTCATCTTGCTTGGATCCACATCAGTGCTCATCGAAGCAGCAGTCAAGCTCAAACTATGCGTTGCATTTGGGCAAATCTTCACAAGACCTCTTTGGCGTGTTGAAAAGCAAGGATGTTCCTTTGAGGACTAAGGTGTGCCAGACCCAAGCCTCATATGTGTGTGAAAATTGGACATCGAATAAGGAAGGTCAAAGAAGAATAGATGCACTTGAATTAGGGTGCTAGTGAAGAATATTTAAAGTATCATGGACTGTCCAGAGAATAAACAATCTGTCTTGGAAGAAGTACAACCAGAATGTTCCCTAAGGGCCAGGACGGAGAGACTTCATCTCATGTACTTTGAATGACGTGCCCGGTAAAGCGGAGGGGCAGTGAAGAAGAGGAAGCCCTAGCCCAGTTGGATTGACACAGCGCTGCAACAGTGGGCTTGACATCCTCACACAACAATTGTGAGGATGCTGCAGGGTTTCTGTTGTCCCTACGAGATCGCTATGCGTCAGAACTGACTTGCTGGCATCTGACCACGACCATTATTACAGTTCACCCACACTTTACACATTTGGATCTGTCTGGTTTCATTTCACCCACCATTGTGAACCAGGAAAAATTAGTTCAAAGGCCCCATCTTCCCTTAGTGCATCTACTGGCTGCCTTAATGGTTTCAAGAATAGGTGTTCTCCCTACAACATAAAGCTCTGCAGTGATGCTGTACGTGTAGAAGAAGGAATAGAAGAAGGAGTAGAGAAGATAGGTCCCTGTGTTTAAAATCAGTTGACGGTTAAAGAAAGTACAGGTGCCAAGCAGATTTAAAATGTTGATGACACTGTTCTCCATTGGAGGCAGATGCCCCAAAGACCTACATCTTGAGATTTAAGCCATAAAAAGCAACTGTGGTAAATATATAAACTAGACCTCCCTGGGTAAAAATGGTAGTGGAATGCTAGTATGTAAACGAAGATCATGACTATTTTTATTAGTACTTTGGTTACAGAGTTAAGTGCATTTTGAGTGTTATGGCCCTGTCCTGATTTCCCACAATCCCTGATATTTTTAGACACTATATTATAGGATGCAAGGTTTTTCAAGAGTTTATATATCCTGGTAAAACGGAAACACTTGTAAACAGCATTAGAGCAGAGGCAACCGCAGTTATTTTATTCTATTCAAAACATTGCTGCTTGTATTGTTTGCAGTGGGATCATGAATTGGCATAAAGAGTAAAATATTAAGAGGCACTGTGAATAAGAACACATTTTACAATTAACTGGCTTACACAGTCAGGCAAGGCAAGATCAAATGATATCATTTCCACAGTGTTTTATTCAACGATAAAATGTGTTTAAAGGTACAGCCTCACAATCAGATCCTTCCGTTGGTTTCTGGACTGTGATTTGTGACTATGTGTGCATGTGCCTGCACACGTCGGCTTGTACGCATGTGTGCATGCATGATGTGGTATGGAGATATTGGTGGGGTGTGTCACTAAGGATGGAAAATGTTTTCATAAAATGAAATAATACAACAGTCAAAACATGGAAATAACACAAGTGTTCATCCACAAATGAATGGATAATCAAAATAGTGGGATATACATCAAACGAAATACTGTTCAGCCATCAAGTGAAATGAAGTTCTCATACGTGTTTTCTGATACCAGTTGCAATTTCAGGAATTCCTCGGGCCATGCACAAGAAGCTTATAGAAGGACTCACAGAACTCATTTTAATCACAGTTCAGATTTATTATAGTGAACACATACAGATGAAAATCAGTCAAGGCAAGAGGTGCATAGGGAAGGGAGCACAGAAGTTCCAAGTTCAAGCTTTCAGTTGTCCTCTCCTGGTGCAGTGATGAGAGTCTGGAACTTCCAGTACCAACATGTGACAATACGTGTGGGCTGTTGTTAACCAGGGCGGCTCAGCCAGTCCATGATCTCCAGATTCTGTTGAGACTCAGTCACATAGATAGGGCTGCCCAGTCACGTGGCTGCCTCAATCTTCAGCCCTCCAGCGTCAAGATGATACGATGTGGTCCAACTCACATTGCTGGCATAGAGTACCTGGCATGACCCACGGCCCTGGGGTAAACAAAGACACTTATCAGGCAGGACATTCCAAGGACTTAGAGATCCCCCTCCCGGGGAGCCAGGGCAAAGGCCAGATCTCTCTGTGGGTAAGATGAATCAGCTTATTCCGAGTTTGGGGCCAAGATTCACTTAACAGCAAAAAGATCTTTTTTGTCTGAGCATCAACATTTAGTGTAGCATTTACAGGACTCATAGCAATGGTATGAATCTGCCTGCCACTGGGAAGAGTCAGTACGGACTGGAGATAGTTTTTTTGTTTTGTTTTTTTAAATCATTTTTTAGGGGCTCATACAACTCTTATCACAATCCATAAACACATCAATTGTGTAAAGCGCATTTGTACATTCATTGCCCTCACCATTCTCAAAACATTTTCTTTCCACTTAAACCCCTGGCATTAGCTCCTCATTTTCCCCCTCTCTCCCCGCTCCCCCCTCCCTCATGAGCCCTTGATAGTTTATAAATTGTTATTTTGTCATATCTTGCCCTGTCCGACATCTCCCTTCACCCACTTT